GGACACGTCACCCACCGGGAACGCTCGGAATGTTCCTGATAAGGTCCGGGGTGGGAGCAGCCCCGACACCCCCGCCCCTCCCCCCGCGCCCTTCAGGGGGTCCCAGGGGTCCCCAAAGAGGGACGAGGCCGCTGAACCCCGGGCGGGACCCCCCGGGACCCTCGGGTCCGGCACTTCGGGGACCCCGCGGGGAAAATGGAGAAAAAGGGGGGAAAAGGGGGGGTGATGGGGCAGAACAGGATAAAATTTGGCATAAGTGGGGGAAAATGGGGAAAATTGGGCAGGAATGGGGCAAAACGAAGGGAATGGAAGGGGAAGGAATGGGGCAAAGCAGAGAAAAACGTGGGGGAAAGGGAAATGGGAGGAAAAGGGGAAGAAATGGGGAAAATGGGCAGAAATGGCAAAAAAAAATATGGGGGGAAACCAGCAAAAATGGACAGAGATGGGCAAAATTGGGCAAAAAGGGATAAATGGGACATGAATGGGATAAAACAGGGCAAGATCAGGCAAAAAGGGTTAAAGTGGGACAAGAATGGGATAAAATGACAAAATAGGGCAAGAATGAGTGAAATGGGACAGGAATGGGGTAAGACAACAAAATGGGGCAAAACAGGAAAATGGGAAGATTTTGCATAAATGGAGTAAAATGAAGCAAAAAGAGGCAGGAATGGGGGGAATGGGGAAAATGAGAAATGGGTAAAAATGGGACCAAAATGAGAAAAAGCAAGGCAGGGATGGCACAAAAGTGGGCAAAAATGAGCAAATGAGATATGAACAGGGCAAAATGGGGAAAACAGAGCAAAATGGGGCAGGAATAGGGTAAAACAGGGGGGTCTCAGGTCAGGCAGGGGATGCAGCAGTGCAGAGGTCAGTAGGGTGACGTGGGGCTGGCTATGGGGACACGAAAATGTGTGGGGCTGACCCTGCCCCACATCCCACAGTTCTGGGGCTGACTCCTGTTCCTTTGTCCCCCACCCCACAGTTCTGGGGTCGATCCTACCCTTCTGAACACACACCACAAGTTCTGGGTCAGACACCCATCCCTCCAACCCTCACCCTACCAGTTCTGGGGCTGATTCCATTCCCTCTGCCCCCCACCCCACAGTTCTGGGTCATACCCCTTTTCACCCACCCCACACCCCACAAGTTTTGGGGTTGATTCCCTTTCCCCTGCCCTGCATTCCCCAGTTCTGGGTCAGACTCCCAAACCTCTGCTTCACATCTCACGAGTTTTGGGGCTGATTCTTTTCCCTCACACCCCTCTTCTCAAGTTTTGGGGCCGATCCCCGCAGGAACAAAGCCCTGGGCCGGCTCCAGCCGCACCTTCCCGGAGCGAGGCCGTGGGGAGGTGCCGCGGGGCCGCTCCCGGCTATAAAACCCGGCCAGAATTCCCGCCCGGAATTCCATCCGTGCGTCCGTCCGTCCGTGCGACTCTCGGGCTCCCGCCGTCGTGGCACCGTCCCCATGAGCTTCTCCCGCCGCACCGTCTATTCCAGCTCCGTCCGCTCCGGCGGGATCGGGACCCTCGGGACCCCCGGGATCGTCCCCGGCCGCCGCTTCGCCCCCCTGGGCAGCGCCGCCAGCGTGTACGCGGGGGCGGGGGGCGCGGGGTCCCGCATCTCCGTCAGCCGCACCCTGAGCAGCGCCGGGGGGGCCTTTGGGGCCGGTTTTGGGGCCGGTTATGGGGCCGGCCTGGGGAGCAGCGTCTTCCTGGGGGGCTCCGGGGCCGTGGCCAACGAGAAGGAGGCGATGCAGGACCTCAACGACCGCCTGGCCACGTACCTGGAGCAGGTGCGGAGCCTGGAGCGGGAGAACCGGCGCCTGGAGACCCAAATCCGGGAGTTTATGGCCCGAAAGGGACCCAGCGCCCACGACTGGAGCCCCCAATGGGAGCTGATAGAGGAGCTACGGGACAAGGTGGGGGCGCGGGGGGGTCGGGGTTAAACATTAACGGGGGAGGGAGAGGGAAAGAGCTGAACTTTGTGTCTCTGGGAGGTCTGCAGGTCCCTGGGGGGGTGTGGGGGGCTTGGGGGAGGTCTGTAAGTCCCCGTGGGTGGGGGGCGCGGGGGGGTTTTCCTCCCCGCGGGGGGAGCGAAGGGACGTGACCAAGGCCACCGCGGTGGGGCAGTATGGAAGGAGCCCCCCCTCCATTCTTACCCCGATTTTTGGGTAAATTAGCCCCCCCCAGTCCCCCAAAGCCCCTCCTGGAGCCTCCTCAAGGTGACCGGCACCCCTCCCCCCCCTCCCCGACACCCAGGCCCCCGCCCCGCCCCCACCCTGGGTTATCGCAGCTTTTCCGGGGCGAGGCCCTGCAGGGAAGGGGGGCCGGGGAAGCCACCCTGCCACGGTGACGGTGACACGTGTCCCTGTGTCCCTGCGTCCCTGTGCGTGTCCCTGTGTCTGCGTGTCCACGTGTCCCACTCACCTGTCCCCCCATATCCATGTGTTCACCTGTGTCCGTGCGTCTCCGTGTCTGTGTGTGTCCACCCGTGTCCCCTCATGTCCGTGTGTCCCTCCACTTGTCCCCCATCCGTGCATCCCTGTGTCCATGTGTGTCCCCATATCCGTGTCTCCCCATGCCCCCCCCATGAGCCCCATATCCCTGTGTCCTCCCGTGTCCGTGTGTCCATCTGTCCCCACATGTCCCCGTATCTGCGCGTGTTCCCGTGTGCCCCCATGTCCGTGTGTCCCCTGTGTGCACGGGTGTCCTCGTGTCCCCATCCCAGATCCTGGAGAGCACGGTGGAGAACGCACGGACCGTGCTGCAGATCGACAACGCGCGGCTGGCGGCCGATGACTTCCGGGTCAAGTGAGGGCAGGATACTGGGAATACTGGGAATAATGGGAATACTGGGAATGATGGGGGTGGGAATATGGCAGAGATGGCATGGGAATGAGGATGGAGTGGGAATGGGGGTGGGAATATGATGGAAAAGAGGGTGGAGATGGGGTGGGAATGGGGATAGAGTTGGAAATGGAGCTGGAAACAAGGTGGGAATGGAGATGGGAGTAGGGGTGGGATTGAGTAGGAATGAGGATGAAGATGGAGTGAGGAAGAGGGTGAGGATAGGGGTGTGAATGGGAATGAGGATGGGGATGGAGACGAGATGGGGATGAGGACAGGGACGAGGATGGAAACAGTGGGGATGGGAATGAGGATAAGGATGGTGAGGGAGATGGGGTGGAGACCAGCATGGAAAAAGTAGTGGGAATGGGAATTGGGTGGAAATGGATGGAGATGGGGACTAGGGGGAGAACAGGGGCAATGGGAGTGAGGATGAGGATGGGATGGGAGACTGAATGGGGATGGGTGGGAAGGAGAGGGGTGCAGGGATGGGAATGGGGTGGAGACAGATGAGGATGGGGCTGGAGATGGGACAGGGATGTGCACAAGGACAAGGGTGGAAATAGGAGTAGGAATGGGGACCGGATGTGGACAGGGACAGGGATGGGCTAAGGATGGGAATCAGGATGAGGACAAGGTTGAAGATGGAAGCAGGAGTGGGAAACTGGATGGGGACAGGGACAGGGACAGCTGTAGGTGAGAGTTGGGATGGGACAGGAATGGGAACATGGATGGAGACAGGAATGGGACAGAACTGGAGATGAGGATAAGGAATAGGATGAGAAGGAATGGGGACAGGAACAGGGGATGAAAATGAGGTGAAGACAAAGAGAAGGATGAGAATGAGGATGGGAACAGGTACAAAGACAGGATGAGTGGAGGTGGCAGAGGAGATGAGACAGGGATAAGAACATGGATGGAGACAGCAATGGGGTGAGGTCAGGTGGGGCTGGAGATGGAAATGAGGTGAGGGTGGGACAAGGAGATGGGATGGAATTGAAAATGGAGATGAGGATGAAAATGGGAAGGGAAACAGAGATGGAAGTGAGGATGAGGATGGGGTTGAGAATGAGAATGAGGATGGATATGAGACAGGATGAGAATGATGGGAATGGGATGGAGAAAGTGTTGTGATGGGGATGGAAATGGGAATGAAGATGAGGATGATGGGACAGCGATGGGGAGAAGGATGTGTTGGGGATGGAAACAGGGCTGAGGGTGATGGGGATTGAACGAGGATGAGGAAAAGGCTGTGTTGGGCTGGGGATGGAAATGGGGCTGCCGATGGGGGTGGGGGACAAGGATACAGGGGACAGAAACAGGGCCAAGGACAAGGACAACGTTATGAACGGGCACAAGGCTGGCTGGGCTCCGTGTCCCAGCTCTGACCCCGTTCCTGCGGCGTGTCCAGGTTCGAGGCAGAGCTGGCCATCCGGCAGTCGGTGGACAGCGACATCGCCGGGCTGCGCAAGGTCCTGGACGACACCAACATGACGCGGCTGCAGCTCGAGGGGGACATCGAGGCCCTGCGCGAGGAGCTGATCCTGCTGCGCAAGGACCATGACCAGGTGGGTCCAGAGGGCTTGGGGGGCTCGGGAGGGGCTGTGGGACCCCAAACTGACCCATCCTGCCTCCAGGAAGTGCAGGAGCTGCGGGCGCAGGTCTCGCAGTCGGCGCTGACGGTGGAGGTGGACGCACCGCGGTCGCAGGATTTAGGGAAGGTCCTGGGGGAGCTGCGGGCTCAGTACGACGCCCTAGCCCAGAAAAATCTGGAGGACCTGGAGAAGCAGTGGGGGCAGCAGGTAGGCAACCCTAAAAAACCTCAAATCCCACCCAAAGCCAGCTCCAAAATGATCCTGGGGGAGTGTGGATCCAGGACAATGACTCTGAAGGACCTGGAGAAGCAGAAGGGTGGGAGTTGGAGACCCCAAATCCCCACCAATCCACACCCGAGGATCCCCAGTGATGGTCCATAGGGGTATCCCCAGTCTGGGATCACCAGGAGGGTCCCAAAAAAGGGGAAACTCCTTTTGGGGAGTGTCCCCAGGCTGGCATGGAAGGTCCCCAAAGAAGCCCCACAAAGCCAGGGGGAAGAGGTGTGGCAGACCCAGGGGGTCCTGGGTGGACACTGGGGATGTTTTCAGGGGGAGTCCTGGGGTGAACTGCTCCAGGAGGTTCCTGGTCCAACCTTGGGGACACTTTTGGGATGGCCTCTGTCCAAGGGGGTCCAAGTTTGGAGCCCCTCTAGGGCACACCCCACAATGTGGGACCCCCATTAGGGTCCCATGCCTGAGTCTGGTTCTTCTTGAGATGGTCTCTCTCCCCCGCATCCCCTCCAGGACTTGGGGTGCCCATGGTGGGTGGGACCGAGGCTGCTGTCCCCCAGACCCCAAGGTTGTCCCCAGGCTCCCCTAGACCCCTCCTTTCCCTCCCAGATCACGGAGACCACCCTGGAGGTGACGCAGAGCACAAAGGACCTGGACGTGGCACGAGGCACTGTCGGGGCCCTGCGTCGCTCACTGCAAACCCTCGAGATTGACCTTGAGGCCCTGCACAACCAGGTATCCCAAAATTCCCCAAACTCCCCCAAAAAAACCCCCCCCCCCCCAAATTCCTCAATCCACAGCCTCACACCCCCAACTCCCCCCAAAAAAAAAACCTAGCTCCCCTTAATCCCTGCCCCCAGAGCCCCAAAACCCTTCCAACCCCCAACCCCCAACTCTAGCCCCACAAAGGCCATTTTTGAGGTCCTGACCCCTCACCCCCTAAACCCTCCAAATCCCCCAGAACTTGGGGCTGGACATGGCGCTGCCTGAGGCTGAGGCTCGGGGCAGGGTGAACCCCCACAAGACTCCCCAGTCCTCCCCTGATCCCCCCAGAACACAGGTTTGGGGTCTGCATTGACCAAAGCTCTGAGTGAACCCCCAGTTTTTGGGGTGAACTCCTGCAAAACCCCTACATTCCCCAGAATGCAGGTCTGGAGTCACTGGCTGAGCCCAAGGTGACTGCTCCCCCACTCCTCTTGGTGCAGATCCTCCAAACCTCCCATTTCGGGTTACTGGCTCCCCCCAAACCCCCTAATTCCCCCACAAGCACCCCAGAACACGGATTTAGAGGTTGCCATGGTCAAGGCTGAGACTCAGATCAAAGTGAACCCGCCCAAAACCCCCTAAACCCCACAATCCCTCCAGAATGTGGGTCTGGAGGCAGTGCTGGCAGAGGCTGAAGTTTGGGATGAACCCTTTCAACCCCAATTTTCGGGGTGCTGACTGCCCCAAACCCCCCTAATCCCCCGGATCCCGGCAGAACGCGGGTCTGGAGGCGGCGCTGGCCGAGGCCGAGGCGCGGGCCGGGGCTCACCTGGCGCAGGTGCAGCTCCAGGTGAGCGCGGCCGAGGCAGAGCTGCGGGAGGTGCGGGCGCAGCTCCAGCGGCAGAACGAGCAGCACCGGGAGCTGCTCGGCCTCAAGGACCGGCTCGAGGCCGAGATCGCGACATACCGGCAGCTGCTGGAGGGCGGCGACGGCTTCAGGTTGGCAGGGGGGGACTGGGGAGGGGATCAGGTACCGGGAGGTTCAGGTGGGGGGGAAGGAATTCAGATAGTG